AAATACCAAAAACTACATAACCCAGATAACAACAAGACTTGCGCAATGACTGCCATCGGTCGGCGGATCCGAAGCCGGTTTGAATACCAACAAAACCCATCACTTTATACCTATTTTGCCCCTCATTACCGCTGTCAATACTACTAGCAAGCCTATCCCAAGTCACAGACACCGAGTTGGGCTTAGCGTATTTACATCTACACCCCAAACCCTGCTGTGAAATCACAATAAACCCGAAGAGAAACCAAAAACAAAGCCACTTAAATTCAGTTCTTTTGCTGCTGCAAAATTTAAAATTTAGAGCACCTGGAAGATTCGTTTCTTACACCTCACTACCTCGCCCAAAGAGAAAACAAGAAGATGAAGATTTGAAATAAAATAAGAACAAGAAGATGAAGAAAATAATGAAGAAGTAACTACCTGTCAAAAGAGCTTTGGTGGTGCTGGTGAGAATGAGAGCGAGAGAGAGAGAGGGAATGTTGTAACGGCTGGTGGCAGCGAGTCTGAGGGAATGAGAGAGAGAGAGAAAGAGAGATGAAGGTAAGGGTTTTCGTTCTGTCCTTAAGTTTTCATTAATATTTGATTTTTTTTTCCTTTGGCAACATTTTGTGGACGTTGTAAATACGGACTTTTAGCAACGTTTATTAAATGTTGCAAAATACCATTTTCGCAACGTTTAAAAAACCCTGCAAAAGAAAACCCTTTTCCTAACATTTAATAAACATTGCAAAAGACAAACTTTTCGCAATGTTTATTAAACGTTGCGAAAAGGGTCTTTCGCAACGTTTAATAAACGCTGCAAAAGAAAAACGTTTTTGGCAATGTTTTACAAACGTTAAGCAATGGCAACATTCACGTATTAGAATGTTGCGATAAACCCCTTTAACAACATTTAACTACTGAATGTTGCCATTTATGTGTTGCAAATACACATTTTTGGTGTAGTGAATATATAGCCTTTTGCAACATTCAATGACCGTTGCAAAATATTTTGTTTTTGCTACGTTTATTTTTGTTGTGAAAAATTTCATTTTTCGCAACGTTTATTGACTATTGCAAAAACGTTCGAAATATTTTACTTTTTGCAACATTTGTTAAATATTGTGAAAAATTGCCCACAACCCATGACCCAACCAAAATTCACCCGACCCAAAAAACAAAACAAAACCTACTTGAACTTGCATTTTTCATCAAACCCTAATGAAGATTCGTGCTCCCAATTTTTTACCCATCTTCTCTATGCCCCTTTCAGCGTCGTCGTCAATGCCGGTGGCGATCCTCTCACCCTCAGTCAGATATCCGACCTATCCATCCCTCCCTCTCCTCTCTTTATCCAAAATTCAAAAAAGAAAAAATAGCAAAATTCTGAAAAATCCCTAAATCTGTACAATCTGATTTACTTTTCACCTCCAGTCAAGCAGATTTATTCTATTTACATGTTCATGTTCTTTCTTTTGATTAAAAATAAGAAGAAGAGAGCGAAGTGAAAAGAAAAAACACCAAAAAAAGAAGAAAACTCATCGTAAAATGAAAAAAAGAAGCTTTTTAAAAAGGTTTTGGGATTGAGATGGAGAGGTAGGTTCAGATGCAGGCAGTGACTGCGGCGACTGCCAGAAGTGCCCAGTTCGTGACGTCACTGTACGTAGGTGACCTTGAGGTAAGCGTGATGGATTCGCAACTCTACGATCTGTTTTCCAAGATGGGAAATGTGGTATCTGTTAGGTTTGTAGGGACCTGACTATCAGACAGTCACTTGGGTATGGTTATGTCAACTACGGTCAAGATGCGGAGAAAGCCTTGGAAGAGCTGAACTTTATGTAGGACCTTTTGTTCGAAATCAAGAAAGAGAGATATTAGTAGACAAGACGAAATTAACGAATGTGTTTGTGAACATGTCCGAAGAAAAAACTGAACAAGACCTGAGGAAGATATTTGGTGAATTTGGATTACTCAACAGTGTTGTTGTGATGAGAAATGAAGACGAAAAGTCGAAATGTTTTGGATTTGTAAACTTTGAGAATGTAGAGGATGCTATTAGATCTTTTGAGTTGCTTAATGGTAAGAAATTTGATAACAAGGAATGGTATGTCGGAAGGGCCCCTAAGAAATCTGAGGGACCTAGAATTAAAACTCCAATTTGAGCAGAGTGTGAAGGAAGCATTTGATAAATCACAAGGGTCCAAACTGTATGTCAAAAATCTGGATGATAGCTTTGGGGATTATGAGCTTAAGGAAGTGTTCTCGCCATTTGGATCAATAACATCATGCAAGGTGATGCGAGATCCGAATGGAATAAGTAGATGATATAGTTTTATTGCATTCTTATCCCATGAAGAGGCTTCTAGAGCTCTCTTAAAAATGAATGGCAAGATTATTGCTAGCAAACCTCTTTACGTTGCCCTTGCTCAAAGGAAAGAAGATAGAAGAGCACGGATACAGGCTCAATTTTCCCAAGTACGACCAAATACTATGGTACCTACTGACACGCCCCGTCCCGAATCACCCTAATGGACCCGACACGTGCCGTACGCCGATGGTAGATA